ATGGAAAATAAACTCAAGCACACGTAATAGCGTTAAAAAATAATTTTGTTTTTTTTTGTGTTTTTTTTTAAAAATAAAAATATAAACATATAGGCATATTAAAATTGTTTTTTTTAAAAAAAATTATATATCGTAAAAAGAAAGATCGAGATAATATAAAACGTCGAGTAGTGCTTTACGTGCAGTAGTCGTTTAAATGTTCTGGAAATCTTACTCTTCTTCCAGAACGCGTCGTTTTAGGTTTATTTTCAGATACATTCGGAGTATCGTCGCTAGTGTTGGTTGTCGGTTGAGGAATTATGAGTGTAGGAGTCGTGTTGTGCGATTGTACCGAAGGAAAATCGACGTGAATAGGATTTCCTTCTAAATACGCTGCTTTTAAGCGATCGATGCTGATGCTATCGTTTGTTCCGTTCTTATCGACTATATAGTACTTAGATTCACGTTGAAGAACTTTGAAAGGTCCTTCGTATGCTGATTCGAATGGTCGTCGATGCGAGTCTCGACGAACGAAAACGTGTGTACTATATCGTAAGTCAGGTTGAACGAAAACATCAGTTGATTGAGGTCGAGTGGAAGCAGGTTTAACTGAACGCATTGCGTTTGTAAGCCTGTTCGTGTAGGAGGTTAGATCCATGTTCATTGAAGAGGACGAAGGATCCACGAATTCTCCTGGAAGTCGAAGTGTCGTTCCATAAACGAGTTGAGCCGCAGTGTATCCAATGTCAGCTTTCACTGCATTGCGGATACCTAGTAAGACGAGTGGAAGAGCGTCGGTCCACTGTGAAACGTTTGCAGCTGATAGTGAAGCTTTTAGTTGTCGGTGAAAACGTTCTACCAACCCGTTTGCTTGTGGGTGGTAGGCGGTCGTTCGGAAGCGAGTGATTCCTAAAAGTGTGGTCAGACGACGGAAAAGTTCAGATTCAAACTGACGTCCGCGGTCTGTAGTGATGGTTGAAGGGCAGCCGAAGTTTGCTACCCATCGTTCGACGAAGGTGCGGGCCACTGTTTCAGCAGTGATGTCCTTGATAGGTACTGCTTCTGGCCATCGAGTGAAACGGTCTACGCAGGTTAAGAGGTAAGAGTATCCATTTGAATCTGGTAAAGGTCCTACCAAATCCAGATGAACATGGTCGAAACGAGCATCGGGAGTTTTAAACGAGCCTAAGGGACATTTATTGTGTCTGATAACCTTAGATTTTTGGCAGCTTACACAGGAGCGTGCCCACTCCCTCACGTCTTTATTCATGCCAGGCCAGCAAAACCGTTCTGCTATAAGCTTGATGGTTGCACGAACACCTGGATGAGAAAGTTTGTGCAATGTGTTGAAGACATTGCGTCGATAATGTTTCGGCACGATTGGGCGATCCCTACCTGTAGATGTGTCACAAAGTAAGGTTTCCTTACCTGTTCCCATCTGTTTGATGCGTAGTTTAAGTGTTGTGGACGATAACTCGTGCTGAAGATCAGTGTCTTCTTTTTGAAGCTCGGCGAGTTTAAGAAGGTCGATTCCTTGGAAACTGTTCAAGGAAGTTATGCGAGATAAGGCGTCTGCAACTACATTGTTTGCTCCAGAGATGTGTTGAATATCTGAAGTAAACTGCGAAATGTAGTCCAGTTGTCGAGACTCACGGGGAGAGTACTTGTCAGAAGGAGAGCTTAACGAGAAAGTGAGCGGTTTATGGTCCGTGAAAAGAGTGAATTCACGGCCTTCGATATAGTGTTGGAAATGCCGTACAGCACAATACATAGCTAGGAGTTCCCTACCGAATGTGCTGTACCTCGATTCGGTGTCTAGCAACCTTCTAGAGAAAAATGCCAAGGGTTGCCAGGAGTTGTTAACCCATTGTTGTAAGACTCCTCCGATTGCCGAGTCGGATGCGTCTACTGCGATGCTAATGGGTGCTTCGGTGTCCTGATGTGCGAGCATTGTTGCTTTAGCGATCAGTTCCTTAACTGTGGAGAATGCTTTTCGTGCGGTGTCGTCCAAATTAATGGATTTCGCATTTCCACGAAGTTGGTCGGTCAGAGGTTTCATAAGTAATGCGCATTTCGGTATGAAACGTCTATAGAAACTTACCAGGCCGTTAAACGTGCGTAATTGCTTGACGGTGGTCGGTTCTGGGTAATCCAGAATGGCCGCCACTTTGGTTCTAAGGGGTCGGATACCTTGAGCATCGATAGTGTGTCCCAGAAAGTCTAACGAGTCGGTTCCGAATTGGCATTTCTGAACGTTTACAGTTATGCCATGTTTTTGTAATCGTTCGAAAACAAGATCCAGATGCTTGAGATGTGTTTCTCTGTCCGGACTTGCGATTAGACAGTCGTCAACATACGCGTGTACGAAGTTGAGACCTCGAAAAACGTCGTCTATGAATCTTTGGAATGTTTGAGCAGCGTTCCTTAGACCGAAAGGCATTCGCAAAAATTCATAGAGTCCGAAGGGAGTTATGATAGCCGTTTTCGGTATGTCGTCAGTAGCCATAGGGATTTGGTTATACGCTTTAACCAAGTCGATTTTCGAAAAGACAGTTGTACCTTTCAAGGTAGCTGTCAAATCGTGAATGTGAGGCAACGGGTAACGATCGGGAATGGTTTTCGCGTTCAATCGCCGATAGTCGCCAGTTGGACGCCAATCGTTGCTGTCCTTTTTAGGGACCATGTGCAACGGAGATGCATATGGGCTACTTGACGGTCGTATGATTCCTAAGTCCATCATGTGATCGAATTCGTTTTTCGCTAACCTTAGCTTTTCAGGAGCTAGTCGTCGTGCTTTAGAAAATACAGGTGGTCCTGTAGTCGTGATGTGATGTGTAACATTGCTGGTTACACACGGTAGTTTCGGTTGAGTTTGTTGTATCCCAGGGTACTTATCGAGTAGTGGTTGATAGAGTGGGTCTATCATATGTTTAACTGTGACTGGGGATACTCTACAACCAGTAAAAGAAGTTACGCAAACGGACAAATTAGTGTTTCCGTCTACTAGCCTCCGTTTGCGAGTGTCGATGATCAGATTGTGGTGTTGTAGAAGGTCCATACCAATGATTGGCATAGAAACATCTGCAACGACGAAAATCCAGTGGATGGGTTTGCGTAAACCCACGTTAAGGTAAACGTACCTTTTGCCATACGTAGCGATCGGTTTTCCGTTTGCCGCCTGTAAGTTTAGGGTCGATTCGTGAAGTCGGTCGTTAGGATTTGCTGGGAGAACGCTAACTTCTGCGCCAGTGTCGACGAGGTAGCGAACTCTCGTTGTCACATCTGTGACGAATAACAGACGGCTTTGTTCGCCGGCTACGGTTGCCGTTAACGCGTGCCGGCTTGGAAGTTTCCCGAATCAGTCGGTTTCGTGTTGGGAAAATTGCAGGGTTTTCTGCAATTTCTGGAAAACTTTCCATACTGGTTATGATACCAGCACCAGTCGGGGTTATCTGTCTCTCGTGGTCTAGAGACAGATCGCTTACGAGAAATGCTTCTACGTGGTGTGCGCGATCTCTTACGGTCGGTACGAAGACTAAGATAACGCGTGAGTGTGTGACATAAGTCGGTTATATCATTCTGAGTCGTGTGAGGCTTTTCTTTGACTGAAAATACCTCGGTAGTAGAGGTTTCGTAATTTCTAGAATGCGGTCGGCAGATGCAGCTAGCTCGTCTAAGGCGTTGTTCTGGAACGAGACCAGAACTGCTTGCACCTGTTGGGGAAGTTTTGACAAGAAGAGTTGTTTGAATAGACCTTCGTCGAAAGTTCTTGGGCCTATAACCTCTCTCATCCGTTGCAACATGTCTGTCGCAGAACCGTGTTGCAGGTCGATGTTATTGAAGAGTTGATCTAACCTTTGTCGATCGGTTAGGTCTCCTCGTTTAAGAATCGAGCGTTTTAAGATTTCGTAAGGATCGGAAACATCACTAGTAAACATACTAGGTGTTACGTACCTGTTGAATTCGCGCGGTAGTGCCTTGACTACTGCGAGGAATTGTGCACGTGTGTCGATCACGCCGTGCTCGGAAAGTCGGCTTCTGCGTAGCAAAACCAGGCTTCGATGTTGTCGGGCCAGAAAGGCATCAGTTGAAACGAAGGTGGGGACAAGGTCTTAAGCTTGAGTACTTTAGGTGTCTGTTCAGTCATGATGAAATATGAAGTACGATAATGAACGAGGGGAAATATATATATATATCCAAGAAAAACACGAAAAAAATCACAATGTTTAAAAAAATAAAAAATAAGGCAATGATATATAAAAATCCCAAAAAGGAACAGACTCACAGTTGCAATAAGGTGTACCAGATCACGACGGTCTCACCAATGATGATGTCACAGGTATTCAGTGTTTGACAACGCTTCTACCAGTAACACCTTCTAATGTATTTCGTTCCCACCAAGAGAAATCAAAAGACAGAGTCGAGGAGATCGGAAGAGTATATTTGGCGATGACCAATATATCGGAATTCTCTGATCTAATCTGGCTAGCGATTGTGGTTGATGTTGAGCACGGCGTTACCACACGTGATCTGGTGCGGATGCCTGACCGAGCGCCTTCAGCTAGATGAGTCCACTAAAACATATGGTCAGCATCCAATGTCGAAAACTTAGTGCTATTTATTTTGGGGATTTATTTACCGCTACAGGGGTAACACCCAGAAAACTGGAGACACAACATAGCAAAACGGAATGCAGACATAACTTCTACTCCTTAAGAGTTGTCAAAAGCTGGAATTCGCTGCCGGCCGAGCTAGTCAAAGCGACTCCTCAGGAGTCCTTCAAGAGGCAACTTGACCTATTCTTAAGGACCAAGGACAGTATCATACTATGATTTAACAATTTATTTTCCTCTTTCATTGTTAACATACCTAGGTTCCTGCCTGGAGGATTTGGTGATCCCCTGCTACTAGACACGGAAGCCTGTTAAGCGAAAGCTTCTTCTATTCCGTCCACAACCATTTGAATCTGCTTCGGCTCAACGAAGTTCGATGTTTGAGGATTGAGCACCGTACGTTTTTCGATGTTTGCGTTACGTTCACGAGGTGTTATCGACTCGCTATCGGATGTTTCATCCAGTGATGATGAAAATGAAATTAATAAAAGTAAAGTTAGCAGTTCGGATGATGAAATAGCAGTTCCATCTCAACGTTTCGCACCTGTCAGTTTGACGGAAGTTTTGAGAAAAAGAAACAAGGTGTATAGTACCATAGTTTTCTGACATTAATTTATAGTGCCAGAGTCCTTTATAATAGCAATAAAGTATTACCAAAATACTGGAAGCGGAGATACGATCTTTTTGAACGGTTTGATGAAGGTGTTCAGCTTGACGAAGGTCAGTTGTTTTGTGTTTGCGGTCACCAAGGAAATGAATAATGTAGTCTCTTTGATCTAAGACAGTTGTGTTAAATTTTTACATTAGTATAGGAAGCCTCACCTAATGCAGAATCATTCATCTCTGTAACGATTACTTCTGAATGTACGTCTAGTCGGAAAAGTATATTTTTGCCTTACTGTTATACTTCTGTCGAAATAACCATATACTGACCATTCTAGTGGATGAAAAGAAGTATCATTCGACAGCTAGTTCTATCTTAAAAAAACACCAGGCCAGTCCCAACCAACATAGGGTAAGACGTAACTTACCGTTGGCATCTTTTATTTCATTTATTTCATAGGTTTAGAAAAAATACTGAGAAATGTCTACCTTCCAATCTGCTTTTAGTTTAGTCTTACTTAACTCGCAGTGTAAAATTTTTGTGACCTTAAGAATAGTTAAGAAAAAACAGATATTGTCATAAAGATATATGTTCCTTTGTTAGACCGACTTCAAAGTTGTTAAATGTAAACTATGGAACTCTAGTATCGTTATGTTCGTTAGTTGACGTTGTTTGTTAAGTTCTCTCTCGCTTCATCTAATCAAAGAATGTATTCTAGAGCTACCCATTCCTTTTCTTGGATTAGTGCTTCTACTTATAGGGTATTGATTAGTTATACTCTTTTTTTTCTCACGAGTTTTCTAGAAAACATTAATCTAATCCAGTTTTGTTGCATGAAAATCAGGTGGTGACTTAGTTCTCCAAGTACTCGACTTTAACCCTTGGGTCTCAGGTCTGAACATCGTTTCGGGAAGTCATTCGGTCACCAGCTCTAGTACACAAGTTTTGACGGAAAGCTGAGTACAAAAGATTATTTGATTAGTAAGTTGGATAAAGTCTACGTAAAACTGAAAACTTCTTACTGGTTTCAGATGTGTGGGTATCTGACGCTAAAATGGTACTTACCTATGGTAATCGAGGAAACTGATTTCCAACAAATGTTATATATGACTTCCAGAAACCTGAGGAAATAAGTAGTGTGCAAATCTATTCTAGTCACGGACTATCATGAGGGTTCATATTCTGACAATGATCCATTGCCTTGTGTCGTAAACCCTCTGAAAATGACGTACGTCGGTCTGGTCATCTGGACTATATTCCCCGTGTGACCATGATAAATACTAGTGGAGAAAACGAATATTATCATAAACTCAACTTATACACTAACGCCTACAGGTTTTGAGGGACATCTATACGTAGGATTTAGCGGTTATATTTTTATAGGAGTGCAAACGAACTGTGCCATAACTGCTTAAAAAATGTCTAATATTGTTTATATTGTTTATTGACAAACTGCTGTAGTGTGAAGGATTCTAAATCAAATTCATTGTATGTTCATTTTCGAAGTGAGAACTAAGTTAGTATTTTCCTGCTTTATTACAAATTTTCTACTAGAATCATGGTACAGCATAACACCAGAAGCTATTGCTCGTCACCAGGCGAAAACTTGTTCATGTGATTTACTCGTAGATGCTTTTGCGGGTGTTGGAGGAAATACTATACAGTTTGCGCGCACATGTCAACTTGGTAAGTGATCAATTTTAAGTTCATTTTTTTGTCACTAGTTTTGTAAATTGTACGTATACAACTAGCCGTGCAGTTCTTACTTTCATTAGTCAAAGGTTCCAATTGCTAAAATAGGTTCTTTTCGGTTTATAATACATTATAGAGGTTTATTCTAGTTGAACATTTGTTAATTTCATTCACTGAGTGTTTCGGCTGAAAAGAGCGGATAGTTAACTAAGTAATCATATTTGTACAGTCTTTTTATTTATTTCAAAGAACTAATCTTGTACATAAATTTCGAGCGAACACTAGGATAATTGTAAATTACATACAGCAATGTATAAAATGATATCCAGTCCATTGAACTGTGTATATCAATCAATTTTCTAGTGATGGTATCTGTCACTGACCGGTAGTAAACGATAAATTTGGTTGATTAAAACCTAAACAAATTTATATATAGAATTTTTGACCTCCCAATCCTGCTTAGTCTATGTTGAGTTTAATTCATTGTATTCATGGTCGGAGGTTTTTTCAAAACTGAACCACTTCAGTGAAAATCTATGACTATGTAGATAACCGAAATGACAAGTATACTAGGCCGAATCACTACCAAAGTATTTTATCAGGATGCAACTAGTTTTGCTTCTGCACAATTAACTATCTGACTAATTTTATCTATCACTGAAAAATTAATCTTTCTCTTATGTTGAAGATCCAGTCGGTTCGCATTTTGAAATTGTGAAACAAGACTATGCAGATTTTCGGTTCTAGCTTTTTGCACAAAAAACAGGATCAACCTTTTTTTCTGCAGCCCAAACCAACTGTTCTTAATTGTATAGCCGGAATATATATTTTTTTGATTTCCGATCAAAATGTTTTCAGTATTCTATCACCAGTCTTTTATGTTATTAGTTCATATCCCACTTAGTAGTTGATCTGTCCGGCTCTGGATAATACACATTCTAGGTAGGATTTTGTACGCTGTTTCCGATTTTTGCCAAGTAATAAAGTTTGGTTAGTATCAGTCAGTCATGTGCAGCGTATGTGTATCGGTTCAGATTTCCATACCACATTAACAAAGTGAGTAAAATTATCCAACCAAGTCCCATTTATGGTTAAGCCACTGGACTGGTCTGCGTCAACACCTGAACTAAGGATAGGGAGTGAACTAGTCGAACGTGTTGACAACTTCACTTATCTTGGAAGTCTGATCAGCCCTAGTGGGTTGGTGTCTGACGAAATCTCAGCACGGATTCAAAAAGCTCGCTTGGCTTTTGCCAACTTGCGTCACCTATGGCGAAGGCGAGATATCCGTCTATCAATTAAGGGACGAGCAAACTGCGCGGCAGTCCGTTCTGTTTTAATTTACGGCAGCGAAACATGGCCATTAAGACTAGAAAAAAACTGGTAAGCTACTAGTATTTGACCACAGATGTCTTAGAAATATTGCTCGCATCTGCTGGGATCACCGGGTAAGTAATAGTGAGGTTAGACGCAGGGTAATAAGGAATGATGGCAAATCAGTTGATGGGGTTGTGAATCTTCATCGACTGAGATGGTTGGGCCATGTGTTGCGTATGCCTGAACACCGATTACTACGACGTGCAATGCTAACCGGTGTTGGAGATAGTTGGAAGAAAGTTAGGGGCGGCTAAACCAAAACGTGGCATCAGTGCTTGAAGTCACTAACTTCTAGTCTGAGCCATGTTGGTAGATGCAGACTACTTGGTTGGGGTCTGTGTGATTATCGTAACCAATGGTTGGAGACTCTTGGTGACATGGCTCAGAATCGATCACAATGGCGTCGGTGTATACACTCTCTGTCTTCCCTTAAACCATGAGATTAAAATTGCTTCATATCTTTCTACTAACTAATTCTTCGTTCCTGTATTATATCCTTATTGCAATCTTTCTTTTATATATTACCACCTCTGAATTAACTACTTTTATGAATCCGGTGTTCATCTTGTTGTGTTAATGAGGTATGGCGAATTGGACCGATGCATATATGTGCCTGGTCCTACTTTGTAGCTGACTGACTGACTGAGATTTCAGAATAATCAGATGCCATCCAGGGTCTTTACATCCCGAATAGCACAGCTCAAGCAGATAGTGCAACCATACAGGCAGGTACCAACAACCCTGGTGGACTGATAAAGTTCATTTTGCTTCTTGTCAGTTTTGACAGATAATTCCCATTTAGACATTAAAAATAAAAAAAACGCGAAGTTCAGCGAAGGGATCTCTTTTCAACGAATTTATTATCAAGCTGTACAATCGTATATTTCTGAAAATTCTTGTTTTTTTAAAAGTACTAATTCCGTGAAGAAATGTGAACACAGTTAATAAACAAGGGGTTATAATACTAGATTACGTAATATAAATAATAACAATAGATTTAGTGAATATAATAACATGATTAAAATGTTTTTTTGTTATAAAAGTTAAAGGTCATAGAGGTGTAAAGAACAAATATGGTGATATGATGAGTATTTACGAATAAACCAATGAAAATATAAGACATAAGTAAAGGGGAGAATGCAGTAATAATAATAATAGTAATAATAATAATAATAGTAATAATAATGATAATAATAATAATAATAATAATTGGATAATCAAAATGCTTAAGGCCAAGGTAACGATAAGACGTACTTCTTTTGTACGCATAGTTCTGGTTTAAGCTCGTGGATGGTAAGAGCTTCGTTTATTTTTAAGAGTTGGATACAAAGAAATCTGGGTAGACTTGAACGAATCATATTAACAACTTTAAAATCAAATTATAGATCTGTAGAATGGTTACAGTCGATTAGGTGTTCAAGTATAGAACTCCTAACTGCTTTCCTTTCACCTTTATAGAACCAAGCTGGGTTCTTTTAATCATCATTTTAATCATCTTATTATATTCACTAAATCTATTTTTATTATTCGTATCACATAATCTAGTATTATAATCTTATCACTTTGTAACTTCTCACAACTTTTATCCTAAACTAGCACCGGTCTACAAATAGGACATATGACAAGCATAATCAAAACGTAATACTTATCTCAACGAATTTATAATTTATTCAAGTACTATATTCCTAACTATCACTCCATATTTGATTTCTACGATTGGCCACTGTATGTATGATCAAACAAGGTGAATCAATATTTTGTCAAACAATACTTATCAAAAATTTAAAGGAAAAACCAAAACACTATTGAGTATGCATGTTCTATCCTACTTAACGACCTACAGTATTACTTGATATCATATATGTGACTTTGTAAAGTTCAACCCCATCATTGCTTTAAGTTGCCCTGAAACTTCATTTATTTCGTTTTTCGTTCAATTCTAGTTTTAGCCATTGAAAACTGTTTTCCGCGATTATTAATGCTCCAAATTAATGCACAAATATATGGTGTTTTGTCAAACATTATGCTTGTTTGTGGAGACGTTGAAAAAATTTTAAGTAGTTTAAGAATTGTTCGATTGTCGTCTACAAGTTTTACAACTGGCAATGATGATACAAGCGTGCGAACTTTAGAAAATCAATGTGAAAGCGATCATTTGAAAGTAACTTCTATACGTTCACCTGAGAATAACCGAAGTACATTATTATCTGGAAATAATGAACAATCTGCAGATTTTTCGTCCGAAACATCGATTAACATAGATGATAATATTTTGAAATCCGACTTCAATCTATCTGAACATCAGAGTTCATCATCACATTTATTAGCTAATACAGAGACCACATTAGAAGTGAACCCAGAGTTGAATGAAAATGGAACTTTAGAGAAGCCAACTAATTCTACATTTAACTCACTTATCGATATCATATTCATGTCACCACCTTGGGGTGGTCCTGATTACATTGGGAAACATTTTTCCACCTGGCTCGTCTAGTTGGAATCAACGTAAACGGAAACATTGGTTATATGATTTGAAAGAAATGGAACCTATTAAAAATCTTGAAGACATTCTCTTTCTTAATAAAGCATTAAATATTTCAAGACATATTTGTAACAAAATTTTAATATATCTACCAAGAAATTCGTCTATTGGTCAGTTGATTCAAATGAGTTGGCCAATAGGTGATAATCAGGGGACTTGTGAATATATTGCTGATTGTTGTTCTTGTAAACAATATCTTAATGTACATATTGAAACATATTGTTTACGTGGTAGACAATTAGCTCTTGGTTTATATTTGGGAAGTTTTCCGTATTTTGAGGAGAATATTGCAGTGTAAAATAAATTTATTTGAATAATTATTTGTTCTTAGTTTATAGTATGACCTGGTACGGTCTAGGCTGGGGAGAGTCAGCTCTCTCAAAATACTCTCATATAACCACGTGTATACAGCCACTCCCATGAAGGTTCTACTCACTGCCTTCAAGAAACCGGATAGTCGTTTATGAGATTGAGAGAACGAAAGCGAATGTCCAGCTCTTTAACCGGGTTGGTGGATATAGAAGATCTACTTAGGGGATTGGAAAACCCTGATTACAAACCAATAGTGCACATGGGCTCCAGGATCCTGGCGTATGACCTTATTGTTGGTTACCGGCTACCATGGGACTACTCCACTACCTTGTGGATTAGACCTTTAGGTCAGAGGCTCCGAGTGTGGCATCCTAAGAAAACCACCTACTTTAGTTTGGACATCCGGACAGTATTCCAGCCCCCAAACAAATCGAATGACAAAGCGTGCCCCATATATATTTGGTGCCTCCTTGTATCAATGTTTATGTGTTTAAATAAATATAGCTTGTAGTGTAACTAACATTTTTATGGAGTGGGTGGATGTATAAGGTTTGTTTTTGATGTTGAATGTTTATATAAAAGAGTGAAGAGAATCTGAAGACAATCTAAATTGTCCAGAGTTAGAATGGATATTTACTCTTATGGTATTCAGTCTTCTGTATTTCAACTCTTATTGAGACTGGTTTTGTTGTGTATCATGTCAACTTTGTACGCATGCTATACAGCAACTAACAATATACATCAATCGAAATTATGAGAAAACACAATTTAGATTCAAGAATATTTTGAAATAAACTTGGATGTTTTTCCACTATACTAGTTAGAATAAAAGTGTATAACGAGCAACCAAAATGTTCAAATCAAAGCGTCAGATAAAATGAATGGATAAAATTAACTTAAGAACAGTTAAACAAATAAATGCTGACCCAGTGGTCTAGAGATTATGCGTTTATTTGCAAAAAACGAAGGTCATGAATTCAATCCTTAATAGGGAGGGGATTGTGAATGTGCACTGCTAAAACGTCCTATACTCAAAGGAAACAGCTATTCAGTGCCTCCTGATATTTAGCGGTTGTTTAACTAAGATCATTCTATGATGTTAACTACTAACTGTATGTGTTTATCCTCAGCTAAGTCATTCCACTTTCGAACCAAATAGTTTAAATTAAGTATTGAGCACTAGTCAAGCAAAGGTTTGTTAGCGCTGAAAAAAATTACAGCTTAGTTCGCATTAATTTACAAGGAAGATGTTACAGAAAATCAGTTAAATGTTGTTATGTAATATAAATTCGTGAGAAATAGTTTGGTCTTTGTTGATTAAATCGATATGTTGGGAGTTGCAAGTTTATTGTCTTTCAAATCAATTTGTGTGTTATTCATTCCTCGAACAAACGGGGATGTTAAGATGCATATTTAATACTGTGTTATGGTTAGAAGTGTGCGTTTGACTATAAGATTTTTATTCCTAACTCTATATACTCTAAACTAGTCGTAACCCCAAACCCTAACCAGGAACAGTGTGCAAAATCTTGTAGAACTGTTTACTTCCTTACAGAACTTCAACAAAAGGTGATGATCTATGCTTATATGGACAGATTTGTATATTGTTGTTTCGTCAATTTACAGACAAAATAACCTATAAAAGACTTCAATAAATTTACTAATTATATAAAGTTTGTCTAATCTTTGTGATACTAATGTTTAATTTCCGCCAAGTACTTGTAGTGTCGGTTACTATGTTAAGCCCATATACCTTATTCTAGCTTCTGGACTGGCCAATCTATTCATTCTTCTTAAGTCATATTTTGACCTTGTTAATTTTTCGCTTACCAATCTTGACCGTTTTTATGTAAGCGTATGTGTGTGCCATCACATGTCTGTAGCTTATTTTAGTGTGAATATAAATATGGATTAACGCTTGGTTGAGTGGAGTTGGCTTACCCATCTCCACTGCTCGTCGTTTCGCTTCGCTCTTTTCTCTTCGATTCTCTGATATTTTGTCTGGACCAAAGATTGTATAAAATATATATATTGGGAAATCCATTTTTGTATTTGACTTTTTTAACTCCGTTACTCATTAACGCTAAGTCGGTATTTACATACGAGGATTGACGATATATATATCTCAACAGCAATCAGAAACGACCTCACTGGAGTCAGATCTCGGGCCACCAAATACTCATTTACAAAGACTGCTTTTTATCTAACTAAAATTCATCGTCGTTGTTTTATACTCTTACATAGACTGTCACTCTGTGTGCTATGTTCTTTAATTTCACTTGTTTGTTTTAAATAAAGACTGTTTAAGATGGGTTTTCCATTGTCGGAGATTTCGATGACACAATTAAGTAATGTGTAAAACATGACGATGAAAAAAAATAACTAGAATACATTGGAAATCTTAATTCGTTATACGACTGTTGTATCTGTCCAGTTCTTGTCCAATTAGAGAATAGTGTTTCCTTAAAGTTGTTAACAACAAATAACCTAAGGTATACGACAACACAACACCAAGGTCAGAATTTTCAATAAAAATGTCAAGACAGTTCTATTGTATGGGGCGGAAACCTGGAGAACTACGAAAGCCATCATCCAGAAAATACAGGTGTTTATTAACAGTTGTCTACGCAAAATACTTCGGATCCGTTGGCCGGACACTATTAGCAACAACCTACTGTGGGAGAGAACAAACCAGATCCCAGCGGAGGAAGAAATCAAGAAGAAGCGCTGGAAGTGGATAGGACACACATTGAGGAAAGCACCCAACTGCGTCACAAGATAAGCCCTCACATGGAATCCTCAAAGCCAAAGTAGGAGAGGAAGACGAAATAACACATTATGCCAGGAAATGAAGATAGAGATGAAAAAATGAGCAAGAATTGGATGAAATTAATAACTAAACTGAATGTTAGCTGTTTATATAAGTACTTGAAAATATTATGCAATTAAGTTATAAGAATTAAAGCTGGTTACTTAATGATTAGTAAGTCGTATAATGTAATATGCAAAGAGGATCGGAAAGGAAGTGAATGTAGTTAGATAACACAAGCTTAACAATTAGTATTATTGTTTTCACTGAGCACTATGTGTTGAATTAAATAGCCCAGGGGCTCAATCGAATTATACTCGGTCATGTGGCATACTTGTTTCAGTTGTCCAACTTCTTGATCAAGAACTAGATTAGACCAAACAACAGTTTATAAATTATAAGCTGTCAACGCAGAGTGAAATACGGTTAGAGTTCACAGGGAAGTCAGTTTTTTACCTGTAAGATAATCTTTTATATTTAGAGCGGCTGAGTATGTCTATCACAAAATCTTATTTTGACTGACATATGGGCTTTTGATTTCTTAATGTTAACATATAATATTCTTTGATGGGGCCCTTGAATTTTGTCGTCATTTAGATCGAACGATGTGGTCGAAAGGGCTCTCCACTTTAGTGGCCCATGGATCTGACTCCAGTTAGATCGTATCAATGTTTGTTATCGCCTATCCTCATATATAATCATCGACTTAAATCGCGTTAGTCAATGACGAAGTTTAATTAGTCAAATAACGAGAATTGACTTTTGAATACATATATTTTGTATATATAAGGTGAATGGAATATAGAGAAGAGAAACGACGCAGAATGGAGATGGCTGGTAAGCCAACTCCCATTTAACCAAGCGTTAATCAATATTTATAGTTACACAAAAGTAAGTTACAGATACGTGATGAGTAAATGGGATAAGAAACGTACACACACCTACGCGCTCCTATAAAAACAGTCAAGATTGATAAGCGAATAAATAACAAGGTCAGAATGTGACTCAAGTAGAATGAATAGAATGGGCTGTTCGAAAGCTAGAATAAGGTATATAGACTTAACATAATAACCGACACTAGAATTCATTTAATTATATTTAGTGTTATTGAGTGACATGAATAAGTTGATATCACTTACAGTAGTAAATAAGTTCCATTAATCAGTTTAAAGTGATATAAATACCATATGAGTCACATGCTTATTAATTATGAAATGAGAGTAGTTCAATTAAGAGAATCTAATCCATGAAGTGGTAGTTTAGTGCCTAAATGTATTTAAATCTCAACTACTAACCTGTTGGTTCAAATCATATTTTGGTTAATTCCCTTTAATACAGTTTGTTAGTATTTGATATGTTTTGTGTTAAGGGTGATTCAATTAATGGAATATCGTCAATAAGGATCTAATGCGATTAAATGGATTGAACAATTACTACGTAGCTCTCTTTCAAAGGTAATGAAATAAGAATAAAACGTTGGTCCCCATGTTTTGAGATAAGATAATCGAGTCAGTAAACATCATTGTACTTAAATAACTAGGAAAGATACAATAAATTAGTTCATTCTAAGTGAAAATACAAATACTAATAACCAATTGGTCATGTTTACGGGTATGAGGCAGCTACCCATAGAAGGCAATTGAAGATGGTCACACTGTATCGTGGATTGACTGAAGTTACAAATCGCCACTGATAGATAGTGACACAATGGTCTGGAGGTCAATTGTTCACGTGCGATACTGAATGTCGTGGTTTCGGTTCACGCTTTCAGAGGCGTGGATATGCACATCTGACGAGTCCCATACTAGGACGAAAAGATTATCCAGTCCTTTTAGGTTCTCAATAGTTGTCTAACATCGGTTCATGATTCAAATAAAATACTACTATCCCATACTGACAATACTAATAAAGTTGGTATTTTCGGGGTAAAACTAACAGTATGAAATTATGGTATAGCAATCGAGTGTTTCAATCTGTCCACTTAGTTGTTAAATTGTATAACTAACCATCTGGATTGTGGTAATCTGGATTGATTGAAATTATTAGATTATTCAGCAGAAAATGTTTTTATTAAAACGACTTAATGTTTGTCATTTTACAGAAAGATACTTAGAACATTTGTCGATTAAAACAGCTGCTTTTGGACCTATGGAAAAGTTTGGTATTGGGATGCTACC